TCTCCGTTGCGTGTCGCTTCGCGTTGAATTTTCGTCGATGTTAAGCCTAACGAAGACTATTGTATCGTTAAAAATTATTTTTTTATTTTATACAAACAAAATAAATATATTGAAAAATATAAAAACAATAAAAAATTATACTTCAGATGTTAATTTAGTATCAAAAACGTAAAATATTTGAGTAACCCAAGAAATAGCCGAAGATTGCAGCGCCACAGCACTAGCGAAAATTTAAATTTGCCGACTGGAATGCTTTCGGATAACAGACGTTTCGGATAACCAGCTTTCGGATAAACGACGCTCTACTGTATCTGTTTTTACTAATTTGATCTCTTGATCTATTTCTTGTAACATTCGCTTCGAAAATTCTATCGACCAGTCATATTCTCTGGGCTGGAGGACGTCTGGAGTGATGTTTCCTTGGATGTATTCCCGCAGAATTTTCACTTCTGTAAGATTGAGAACGTCCGATATTGCGGGTATCACGTAATGGTTTCGAAGCGCAACTTTAAAGGAAGTTCGTGACTGGAAATGTGCTGTGAGTCGCACGCCGGGCACATGGCCGGTGCAAGTCATTGGCAATTTAAAGATTCCGGTGTTGTTCAACTTAATCATCTTGATTGGTGAACTTTGTAGGTCTCTTTCTAGATTGCATTCGATAACCAAATTTAAAGGTGATGGAGTGGAATATATCCAAGTTCCTTCCTCGTCGATGCGTCGGAACATTGGCTTTGGGTTGATTGACACTTTTCTTTTACATAGTTTGTTTACCGTTGGCTCATCCGCTATGAATAAAGCATATTCACATGATTGATACGGAAGTCTCCAAACGGCGACCTCCGGCGCACAGATCGTGGTCAGTCCGGACCTACATTTTTGTAAGTCATGAGCTTCTAGTAACATGTAAAGTTGTCGATTTCTTGATAAGGCGATGTACGGATATTCAGTCTGGTAATGAGCAAACGTTTTCGAAATGGGGAAATATACGGGGAACTCCACTACTTCATATATGTCAAATATCCGACTATGACATAGAGGTTGTACACGTAAAGGGGAGCGAAACCCGGTGGCTGACCTACTCTCCCGGGGATGGAACAATAACAATAACAATAATAGTTGTTACGCTGTCGTCTGCGACAGCGTAACAACTTATATCTGCCACGAGAGTGAAGCCCCGGCGCTGGTCACGAAGATTGTTGCCTCTCAAGACCGTGACGATTATATCAAGGCCATTAAGAGTCAATTAATGGGGCAGAATCCAAACCACGACCGTCTACCAAGGAAGGCCCGTGGCTACAAAATCTTGAACGGAGACCTGTTTTGGCAGGATAGTGACGATCGTGGTCATAGTAATCTAAGGCTTTGTGTTGGGGAAGGAGCCATAAAGGAAGTAATTAGTCATTTTCACTATCCACGTACGTTGGTCATAGAGGGGTTAATTCTCCCTCAGAAAGCCGATCCGCAAGAGAATAAAACATTCGAGACTCGGAAGTCGAGACGAAGAAATACTTGGACTACTCGCCGATAAATTGGGTACCTCGTATCCTATTATTCTTATTTCCCTTTCTTCTATCCACCTTCTATTAAATTAAGTTAGATTAAGAATCGCGCGAGAGAATATTAGACACCAACCATTGTCGGGTTGGTAGTTGGGATAAGATTAATTACCTGGATCACTTGTAGCGTTGAAACCATCAGAAGGTAGCCGGAATTGTACGGCAGCGGGAATCCTTAAAGAACTGTATATATATATATATATATATATAAAAAAATTTTCCTCTCTCCCTTTTTTTTTCTTCAAAAGTTTCCCCTCTTATTCCTAGCGGAGGTGCCAGCTCCTTGCTCGTCCTGCCGCCAAGAACATCCTTTCACGTTCCTGCTCCTGCAGGCGTCTTCACAATTGTTCTAATATAGCCTGACCTCGCCCTACTCCTCTCTGGGGTGGAGAGGTGAAGGCTCTGTGGCCCCTTGGGTTCGACTGTTGTGCCCTTTCCTCTTCTTGGGAGGACTCCTCTTCCTCTAGGAGACGCTTTCTTCTCTCTATGGCGAAAGCCACCGTCTCCTCCACCTCCCTTCGTAGATCCGGATCCACCCCCTTCGTGGGGTAAGACGATGAGTTCTGGATGCTCCTGTCAGGGATTCCGGGTTGCTCGCAGAAGAGCAGCCCGCACGACGGCGGGGTCCACCCTGAATCTCCGGGCTTCGCATCCTCTATTGTTTGGAGCTTCCATCATGGTTTCTCTGTCAAATATAAGAGAGAAAAAAAATAATTAAATGATTAGAAGCGTAAATGTTTTTTTCTCCTCTTGAGAGTTTTTTTTTCGAGGAGGAGAACCTTGTTTATTTCCGCTTTTAGTCCTCCGTATCCGGATCGGCTCCTCAGCAGCCCCTTGGTTTCTCACGGGGACGATGGTCACGACTACAGTTAAAACATGGTTTTCGAGCATTCGCTCTAACATTCTTATACTCAAGGTCATGCAATCCCTCATTCGTATAATGAATTTTAAATCACCGGTCACGCTTCGGGGAATAGATTCCTACTGTATTACTTTGCCTCTTCCGTGAACGTCCATTCTCCCTCGGAAGCGTCTCGATTCTCTACGAGTTCCTACGTTTTGCACAATGATAAGGAGGGGAGAGTTTTCATCGATGATTTCCGTCTTAATGATTTGGATGATAAAATCTCGCCGGTAGCAGTGGAGACACGTTATCCACGTGAGAGGTAGGGCCACATCTATCCCTATGATAGACATCCGAACTGAGTCATGATTCAAATGATGGATGTAAGAATGGTTCTCGGTCAGATGCGGGATTATTTGCTGATACACTCCTTCCCAGGCACAGGTCTTGTCCAAGGAGGGGCAAGAACATGTTCGAAAAGAACAATGCAATTCGTGAACCTTTCGGTCCTTAAGAAGTCTCTTTTCTGGGCATCCGTTTTCTTTATAGATACATGACAAAGCTATAATTTTGGCTAATTTCTGTAATGTTAAATTTCGAAAATTTCTTAATTCTCCCCGACAGACTGGGCATTGTCGGACTTGGGTTTTACAACGGGAACAAACTGTATGTCCCGCTGGACATTGGAAAGTAGGGGGTGTCATGTAGTCATAACAGACCGGATACTCGAACAAGGCCATCAGAGCGGGTTCTCCGGGCGAAGCCTGTTCTGGGGTTGTCACAGCTCGGTCTTCTTCCATATTTTCGTCTCTATACAAAAAGGAAAAGAAAATTTTGTTGAGTCTCTGTTTTCTAACTAAAAGATTAATACATAAGGCTACCGCTTTAGGAGGTTAAATTATCTCGCGCCGTTTTATAATCGTCTCATTTGTGAGGGAATTGTCTCCAAGCCGACGGGAAGTGTTACGGATTCTTCCCGTTTAGGTAGGGTTATTGGCTTCCGCTCCTCCTCTCTTTCCTCAGGGATGTTGGGAAGCGGTCTGTCTAGCTTTCACCGTAATCGGTAACCGTTCGGTCATCTCCGTTATGTCGGGTTCTATTCGCTCTTCTCTTTTGAAAGATGGATAAAGGCTCGTTGATCTTTGTCTTCCCAGGCAGCGTAGCCGCCTGCGACATCTCCAAACTATCAGAAGCGTCACTATTATGATAACAGGAGCTATAAGACTTAAATTCCACATAGAAAAAGGGTGATTTAACACGTCTGGTGTCGACAGGGAAATACAGTAGAGCGTCGTTTATCCGAATCAATTGGGGACTGGGGTGGTTCGGATAACTTATTTTTCGGATAACGAATCATGTACGAAAAAATATATTAATTTATCCCATGTTGAAATTTTTCTCCGTTGCGTGTCGCTTCGCGTTGAATTTTCGTCGATGTTAAGCCTAACGAAGACTATTGTATCGTTAAAAATTATTTTTTTATTTTNACCGTTCGGTCATCTCCGTTACGTCGGGTTCTATTCGCTCTTCTCTTTTGAAGGATGGGCTCGTTGATCTTTGTCTTCCCAGGCAGCGTAACCGCCTGCGACATCTCCAAGCCATCAGAAGCGTCACTATTATTATGATAACAGGAGCTATAAGACTTAAATTCCACATAGAAAATGGATGATTTAACACGTCTGGTGTCGACGAGGAAATATCTGTTTTTACTGATTTGATCTCTTGATCTATTTCTTGTAACATTCGCTTCGAAAATTCTATCGACCAGTCATATTCTCTGGGCTGGAGGACGTCTGGAGTGATGTTTCCTTGGATGTATTCCCGCAGAATTTTCACTTCTGTAAGATTGAGAACGTCCGATATTGCGGGTATCACGTAATGGTTTCGAAGCGCAACTTTAAAGGAAGTTCGTGACTGGAAATGTGCTGTGAGTCGCACGCCGGGCACATGCCCGGTGCAAGTCATTGGCAATTTAAAGATTCCGGTGTTGTTCAACTTAATCATCTTGATTGGTGAACTTTGTAGGTCTCTTTCTAGATTGCATTCGATAACCAAATTTAAAGGTGATGGAGTGGAATATATCCAAGTTCCTTCCTCGTCGATGCGTCGGAACATTGGCTTTGGATTGATTGACACTTTTCTTTTACATAGTTTGTTTACCGTTGGCTCATCCGCTATGAATAAAGCATATTCACATGATTGATACGGAAGTCTCCAAACGGCGACCTCCGGCGCACAGATCGTGGTCAGTCCGGACCTACATTTTTGTAAGTCATGAGCTTCTAGTAACATGTAAAGTTGTCGATTTCTTGATAAGGCGATGTACGGATATTCAGTCTGGTAATGAGCAAACGTTTTCGAAATGGGGAAATATACGGGGAACTCCACTACTTCATATATGTCAAATATCCGACTATGACATAGAGGTTGTACACGTAAAGGGGAGCGAAACCCGGTGGCTGACCTACTCTCCCGGGGATGGAACAATAACAATAACAATAATAGTTGTTACGCTGTCGTAGGCGACAGCGTAACAACTTATATCTGCCACGAGAGTGAAGCCCCGGCGCTGGTCACGAAGATTGTTGCCTCTCAAGACCGTGACGATTATATCAAGGCCATTAAGAGTCAATTAATGGGGCAGAATCCAAACCACGACCGTCTACCAAGGAAGGCCCGTGGCTACAAAATCTTGAACGGAGACCTGTTTTGGCAGGATAGTGACGATCGTGGTCATAGTAATCTAAGGCTTTGTGTTGGGGAAGGAGCCATAAAGGAAGTAATTAGTCATTTTCACTATCCACGTACGTTGGTCATAGAGGGGTTAATTCTCCCTCAGAAAGCCGATCCGCAAGAGAATAAAACATTCGAGACTCGGAAGTCGAGACGAAGAAATACTTGGACTACTCGCCGATAAATTGGGTACCTCGTATCCTATTATTCTTATTTCCCTTTCTTCTATCCACCTTCTATTAAATTAAGTTAGATTAAGAATCGCGCGAGAGAATATTAGACACCAACCATTGTCGGGTTGGTAGTTGGGATAAGATTAATTACCTGGATCACTTGTAGCGTTGAAACCATCAGAAGGTAGCCGGAATTGTACGGCAGCGGGAATCCTTAAAGAACTGTATATATATATATATATATATTTTAAGCGCGAAATTAATCTTACATTGTCATTCGCGACAGAATTCACGCCTTGTCAACCCAATTCTGTGTTTAACGGGACTAAAATCAGCTATTGATTGTAATAAGTATGGAGGATAAAGTACTCCAAATATGAGTCTAGTAAGGGAAGTCCACGGTGAGAACACTCCTCTGGTGGTTACTGGATTTTTAGGCATGATTCCCATCTTTACGAACTCCCTAAATGATGCGGTGAATGTGGTTCAGTTTTTTAGAACAATCGATAACGTGGGTAGACTGGCCAATTGGGATGACGAAGTTCGCTGTGCTGCAAGCGAAGCTCAAGGGAGACCCATTGAACACCTTTTGTCTCTTAGAACAAACACCGCCACTAACGTTCGAAGAGATGGCACTTGTGTAGTTTAGGAGGTACGGCTGTTTGAAAGGTTTTCTTCCATAAAATTAATCGATTCTAGACTAATTTGAATCGAATATTTCCAAAACACGTATAATTTTTTGGGAATAACCCATATAAAATATGTTATAAACAAAAACTTGTCGGAATACTTACCGAGTGTACCCCGTTCGAAGACGCTATTGCTAAAGCTTGATTTCGTCGCGGAGCGGCACGTCGGTGTGTGGGAGTACAAAATATCGTGTGAATGAATCAACACGATAAAATATAAGTGCTTCTACCAGGGGAAAAATTTATAACAAGCGTGCTGGTGGAAACAAACGCTTATTAGGGGGAATCTACTGGACTCAATAAGGACTAGACAAGACAACCATTGAATTCTAAACAATATTGTTATAACAATATTTTTTTAATATACTTGGGAGGATACAGTACTCCCAAGATAAAGATGAGACACAAGGATACAGAGTCCGACAAATCTAGTAGATCGCGAATCGATAACAAAACTCTCCCGACAATAAATTGCTCAAGCTGACGTAACAAGAATACATGGAAACATACCGACATAAATGGGGCTTCGACGATCCTTTCTTCTCTTCCACTCCGGGTAGGAAAAAGTTCCAAAGTTCTAAAAATCTCTACGGACTTGCTTGCACAGGCTCTATATCTTCCTTCCCGCACTTCACTCCACTGTCCCTACTCATCTCTCCCTTTTCTCCACTCTCCCTTCCTTTCACCCCTCTCCCTGAGACACACCCCGTCCATAAAACACTCACCCCTCGGTCACACACCCCTGAATTACATAACTCCTCTCCACCGAGTTAGACCCACCACGTGGCGAAGGGGGGAGGCAAGAACAGACGTAAGGCACATATGACCCCCACCAAAAAAAAATATGTGAATATCAGCGGTTATAACCATGGTGGAGTTGCCTGAAGTCGGGGACCGGTCTGTTTCTGAGGTCATAACGGGAATTCATCCTATTACGAGGATAAGCTGCGTCATTTTCTTTGCTGATCTCCTCCGTAACACGATCGGTTTGGTGAGGGATACACCCCTGGGACACCTGTGGCCTTTTAAAGAAAGGGATGTCAGCTTCTTCGGGCTCCTCTTTCTCTACACTAACCGGAGTAGGGCGGTTCGGCGCCCTGGTTTTAACCGCCTTCCCATTAGAGAAATAGGGTTTTATTCTATCAATGTGTACGATAGCCCTGGAGAGAGTCTCGCAATTTTCAATTTCCACATTTACGGGCCCCATGACTCTAGATATCCGGAAAGGACCAGAGTACTTGGGTGCAAACTTTTTTCCCTTTTTTTATGGCAGATTTCAGCCACACCCTCTGGCCCACCACAAATAAACGTGTTTTCCTATTACGGGTCCAGTATGTCCTACTCCTCTTATTTTTCAACTGACTCAGGTAAGAAGCCGTTTCCCGGATCACGTGGACTTGCTGCATCAGACGGGCCCTGTGATCCTGAACCGCATCACCATCCGCCGCTTTATGAATGACGATAGCATCAGGAAATCTCGGGTCAAGGCCATACAATAAGAAGGAAGGTGATTCATTAGTCGAATCGTGAGGAGATGTGTTGTATGAAAACAGGGCGGGTGGAATGAATGTATCCCAATTCGATTTGCTTCCGTTCGAAATCTTCGCTAATATTGATATTAATGTCTTGTTCATTCTCTCACATGTACCATTGGAGCAGGGGCGGTAAGATATGGTTAGATTGTGCTTTATTTTCAGGAGTCCCAGCGCATCATTTACCAATTGTGACGTGAAATTAGCTCCCCTGTCCGATATTATCTTTTCCGGACTCCCGTACCGACATATCACTTTCTCAAACAGTTCGGACATGAGACAGTGAGCGGATTGATTCACCAAAGGTACTGCCTCAGCAAAACAAGTAAATAGGTCAATGATAACCAGAATGTAACGGTTCCCCCTGGAAGAGGTGGGTAACGGGCCAATAAAATCGACCGAAATAATCTGGTACGGGTACTGGGGTTTTTCGTGTTCACAGTACGAAGCTTTTCCTTGATGCAGGTTATATAACGTTGGCATACCTCACACTTTTGGATGAAATCCTTGACCATCTTATGCATGTTGCGAAAATAATAGTAGCGAGCAATATTTCTCATAGTCTTATTAATTCTTCTCCAAATCTATCGATCTACTCCTTCATCCGTTCTCTACGGTCTTCGTTTTTTTACAGCGCTCGTCGGATTCCACTTACGAGCCTTGCCGCCACACG